AATATTGGTTCTAAAATATCTTTACCTGTTGTGATATATTGTATTTCTTTAGGCTATTTGGAATGGAAAAGGCAAGTTCCAAATTGATTCCCTTAGCGATATGAGAGAATACCTCTGAAAAGGATTTTATATATGGTACAGCATCGATTGATGACATTATTTCGTTATGTGAGATAGTTATGTTGCAATAATATTTTATTTTAGTGTGATTGCAGAAAATATAAAAGGTAGAAGATAACAGTTCTTAAATAAAACAGTATATTAATCAGACTTTTTTGAAATTTCGGGTGAGATAACTGCAATATTTTGTCAATCATTCCGTAAATCACATCCTTTTTGTGACATTTAGGATGTTGTGAACTGGAATTTAAATATCTCTCAGAAAAAGTTGATTTTTTGTCAAAAGTCAACAGTCAAAAATAATCTCATAATTATCCACACTGAGTTATATCTAAAAAATTCAATCTGTTCCTATCACCAATTTCAAAAGTGAATTGTATACGGTCATATAATGAATTGAAACATTCTTTAATCTGATTGCAAAACTCAGGAGGAGCAGCTAAGAGAACGTCATTCATATCTGTAGTAAAAGAGTAATTGACAAGGAAAACTTTTGAATTGCGATCTTCTCTAGCAATTACATGTAAGACTACAACAATTATTGTGGGTAATTTTGGAACTCACTATTAAAGGCGTATATTTATAGGTATTTAAAATAAAGTTACAACTTACAGATAAAATTATATTCTTTTTTATAGTAATTATAAACAATATATCAAAGTAAATTTACAAATAAAAAGTTAAGTTTATAGAAATATAATTTAAACATTAATTCAAATTATGTTGAATTTTTCTTAAGCTATGTTATTGACGTAAAACATAAAAAAGAATATAAAAATGCAAATACAATATGTGCAATATGTGCAATATCGTGTATTATGTTATATAATATTACAAAAATTGTGCATATATTGTATTTTGGAACTACAAAATATTCTGTTATTGTAATTTTTGAATCTAATTGAATGATATATTTATAATTAAAGATAAAAGATAAAAGAAGACTAATTTATATGTAAAAGCGCGTAATTTTATATTTTTCCACTATAAATTAAATAATTTTTTTCATATATTATTTACATAATTTTACATCCTTTTCTTATAGTGTGGTTGGACGTGTGTTCATATAAAATTTAATATCTAAAGATAAATAAAAGAATGTATGTGACTGTCATCAGTTGTATACCAGTCAGAGCCCGTATCCATTTTCAGCTGTTAGTGAAAGCACGCACATGTAAGCACCCACACGAAGATCGGATCTCCAATCATATCCCTTTTCCTCTCCCGTGGTCCATGTGCGTCCCATGCACGATGCGGTATATCGAATTCCGCGTGTGAATCAGCATTAAGAACGTGAAGACCCATCACTTTCTCCGAGCGTCGAGTGGGAGCTCACCATTACTTTCGCCCAAATCGAAGGATAATTGTTCTCTCGTGCGCGTTCCGCTACGCTAAGATCGGTTATGATTTTCTTTTGATACACATATCGTGTACGCTGTCATACACTCTAATAGTCGACAACAACAACAATAGAACCAGCCAAGCGTCACGGAGAAAAGCTTTGCACGCGCCGCCGAGCTAAATGTCGGTGATAATGTACGTGCGCACGTCCGGAATTATATAATAAAACTAAATAATAAGTATCACGTTTCACCCTGAAAATGAAGCTCTATTACATTGTGCGCGCATTATTAACCATTGTATCTATTACCAGCGCGGAATTAATTTTCCGTATAATGTACCTAATGCATAAGAGAATAATTCGATATCGTATTATATATATTTCGAAATTGCATATTATACCTCAGTAAGTACTCTATCATCACGTGTATTTATACTAAAGATTGCGTTGCCGAGATTCTTCATAATAATGGAAATGATATGTAATGATAGGGAGAATTTATAATAGCTTAAGTGCGCTTCCAGGATCAGTTCACTTGTTCATTTCTACTAATGCAAATTGTGATCTCGGTTCACCTTCCTTTTTATCTTTTTCTAATTCTAAGAATTAAAAAAATGAAAAGTAAATTAAATAAAAAAAATATAATAACAAATTAAAATATAATAATAAAGATTACCAATGTGTAGATTTACTTCCCTTGTATAAAATAAATCTCCCAGGGAGATCTCCCTATATTCTATATTCTAAGAATGTTCTTAAGATATTTTTCAAATAAAGTGTGCTATATGAGTCGGTTTAATTACTCTTCATTTTTTTTTAATTCTGAGAACTGTCCATTTTTACCAACATAGATTAATTTTAATCTCGGTTTAACTTACTCTTTATCTTTTTCTAATCCTTAGAACTATAAAAAGATAAAGAATAAGTTAAATGAAGATTAAAGTTAATCTATATTGACAGAAATAGATCTTAGGATACGATGAAAAGCAAATTAAACTGAAATTAATGTTAATCTACTTTGGAACAAATAAACTTTACTTTTTTATGTTTACTTAGCCATTAAGATAATAGCTAACTCTTGATGTTGCTGACTCTGTTATATAAATTTATACAGACCGAACCTGTTCAAGTTCACGTTGTATTAAGCGGAGAGACTTTTATCTTTCGATTGCTCATTCTCATTGTCGCAATCATTCCGGATATGTGACAGCTTCTGTATCGACTTTTCTCTGCCGAAGCAAAACGATGGAAAGTATCGTAGATAAAGACTTGAACAGAGACTCAATATAAATATTGGGTCATCTAAAATGTATCCGCGGTACTTTGTCACTAGATATATGATCATCAACACACATCTTTTTAGATGACCCAATATATTCGAAATTCGTTTTTGTGCCTTAATATGTTTCGAAAACCTATTCGCGTTTCCTTTCGGAGGATAGAAACCGGTTTCTGAAGAAATCTTGACGTCGCAACTATGGATCTTATTCACGGCCTTGAAAAGAGTAAGCATTTTCGCGGTCTAATTCGTCGATCTTTCGTGACGAACACTTTCCATTGTGTAACAAATCTTTTCTCGCGCGCTAGCCATTTTGTTTCTGGGCCATTTTCAAGATCACAAATGATAAATGTGCAATAATGATTGCTTTTCAGCGGACAGTTATGTAAAAATTACATTTTGCGAAATAAAAATCAAAAGAAGGATAAATCAATATATTTTTATTGATTGTTTGCTATTAATAATTAGCACTAGCGTGCTAGTCTTCTAACTAGAAAACTAATAATATAATTTACTAAGAATATAATTTATAGATTTTAATATTTATAGATTTTTATATTGTTTTAGCTAATTTTCTTTAGTCTTTTAAAAAATTAGCACGCTAATAAAAAATGTGTAAATCAGGCCTTATTGAGAATTACAAGATTTACTCTCACGACGCTTATTGCTAGACGATTTAAGTGACAAGTCAAAAGCCTGATGGTACAACTCTTCCACGTTTCTCTCTTCAGACCTTTATCGAATTCTGTTACGTAAACCACGTGAAGTGTTTGGGCAATGCGTATACAACGGTACCGAAGCGTGCATCCTCAATGCGACGTCGCCAGCGTTTCGTTTTGAGAAAGAACGGAAGTACTTTCACTGCCTACGAGGATGGCAGCTTAAAAAAATCTCTTCTGAGGCGCCACGTGACGCGAAAATCGCGCTTTAAACCAATGATCACGCGCCTTTTACGAAGCCATGTCTACTTTCCGAAATCAGAGAGAACTTTCTTCTCGTAAAATTACTAAAAATGTAACCGTTTTCGTGTCTGCCTAAAAATTTCGAGGAGCGCAACGTTTTTGTCGGCCACTATTTTGTATCTTTAGTGTTTCAAGTTTCTGCATGAATTGCAATCTTAATGAATACAATTACTTGGTAAAGGTGGAGTATGCAGGTGAAATTCATACGGGAAATACGGGAAATTTAGTAGATAATCTGGTCTCATAAAATTATTCAGTTACAAGAAGATACTCTTTTTTTGAAACCAATTTTAATGCAATTGAGAATTATCTAAAATTGATATTCAATCGGAACATTCCTTCCTTAACAGGCTCCTGTTATTAAATCTATATTATTATTAAGCTTAGAAATCACTAGCATAACGCGATTGTTAAACTTAATGTCGTATTATGTTGAAATCCAGGTTGAGAATCTGACACCGATCGCTTCCAGGCGCCAAAATCACCGCACGCATCGGCTTGCACTTTTCGCTTAACACACTTTTTATACGTAAGAAACGACTGATAGCCTCTCTTTGGAAAGATAGGTGCTCTCCACGAAGCCAATCTTGCTTTCTCCTCGCTTTTATAGTAACTGCCGTTTAATCACACATTAAGCTTAACGAAACGAAACGAAACCGGGCATTCCGTTCTATGTGCCTTCACCCATTGCGTCGATTCCGACAATAAATCGAATAAATTTGATCTGCTTTGCTATGTGTTCTCCACGATTATCGTTCGTACAATCAAGCGCGCGATAAAATGGGTGAAAGTTTTCATTTTCAAAACTAAATTGAATCAATGGACGAAGTTCATCTTGCATTGTTAACAAAAAAAAAGAAGAAAAAGAAACGTGCTTCTGATCGTGAGATAGATCTTTCATCGCGTTGCACTGTTTTAGCAAACACCTGCTTCTAATATTGTTTCTCCGCAATAATGAACTACACATACGACGATCTCAAATTATGAACTTAAATTGCATCTTGTTATAGAAATGCAACAGACTTTTCTCTTTCGAATTGCTTTCTCCCTGCTAAGTAAGTAATATCCCCTCTTCTTCCCATAGTTTTAAGAAATATTTTATATAATATTCACACCGCGAGCTGCTAACAATATTCATTAGTCTCTGCTTTTATCTTATTCGTGTGAACTATTCCCAGATTTCGCGCGTATTCTTTTTATATTAGCGTTTTAAGATTAGAAAATAGAAAACGCGAGGAATAAAATAGACCAGCGGTCTACGAAAGTGGGAGACAAATCGGCGTGAGATTGCACTCACCGATTCAACAGACGTGACCTTCCCGGATTTCTCCTCGGCTGATCGAAGCAATGCGAGCGATTTCTCAGGAGGAACCAGCCAGGACACTATTCCTGCCGCCCGCTCTCTTGCGACCTCTTCGTCTGCCTCGTATGACCGAGGTAGTCCTCAGCACCATAACACAATTGAAGGTACCGTCGCGACAGGTGGTTGCTTTTATCACCGCAAGATATTGTTCGTCGTTGATTATCTTCCAATTCCACAATCACAAAACGCCCGCGCACTCGTAATCTACATATTCAGAACAGCAAAGACCGAACCTGCGGTTGTACTCTCGAAATTATTGCAAGAAGCTATATAACGTCTTGTTCGCGTAGTCGTGCGTTATCGCGACATGATAAGGTTTTGTCACTTCGATGACTAATAAAGTCGTGTTCGAATCTTCGAAATACTGTCTTAGTTCCGTTATTGTCAAGCTTTAGGACTCCTATCTTTCGTATCTTTAAAAAGTCACCGTTTTTTTCATTTTTTTCTTCACTTGCACTTGTTTTCTTTAACCCTGTCAAGTCTTACACTGAAGATTATCCAATCTCTCGATCTGATTCTCCCGATTCTCCGAAAGAAAAATTTCTTTTTTGAAACCCAACACTTCGTGAACGACCGATGGAGCGTATCGGTTACCACACGGTGGCAAAGCTCCACGCCATGTGGAAGGCTCGCACCATGTCTATCCTCTCTCGTCGAGGGACTCCGCCTGCTCGTCGTTGATGTCCGCCGGCACTGCTACGTCTGCTCTCACTTTCTCCGTCGAGTAGTTTCATTTCGATACGTAAAACTCTCTCGCAGTGTCTCCCCACTGTCGCGTGCGAGGTGACAGCCGCCGGCGCCATCACCAATCCTCGGCATCCAAATAAAAAAAAAAAATAAAACTAACCGGTGCCCGATCCGGGGAGGATCCTTGATTGTCCGATAATCCAAAATGACTCTTCTCTTCTTTCTATTTTTTCCTTTTTTTTTATTCATCATCGATCATCGAGCTTTCGTAATACCTTCTGACATCCGGCAATGATGGAGATTTTCCAGGAAAGATGTACAATAATGTCAAAATAATTTTAACTTTTTTCAAGTATAAATTATATATATTTTTGTGTTATATATTTTAATGATGATAATGAGTTTATCATAATGCTAGTATACAGTAATATTTTATTTCAGATATTCGAGATAAATTAATAAAATTATCGTAAAAGAGCGCAATTTAAAAAGAATCACGTCCCCTAGAATTGCAAAGGATGAAATGACATCTGAATGTCATCAAAATCTACAATGGTCCACCTAATCTCTCGCCGCATTATTCCTTTGTTCATTAATGATTTCCATAGAATGAGTAAGATACAGGTACCTGATTTCTTACTAGAAAGTTACAGACACTTGACATTTCTATCTTATAATATTAATTAAGGTGAGAGTTCGTATAAATATTTAAAAAAAACACACAAACAAAAGTACATCACAAATCATGTAGAAATCATTACGCAAAAAAAATTTCATATCTATCATCAAACATCTGTAATCCAAAGAATTTAGAGATAATCAGATAATAATTAAATATCTTGTATATAAAATAACGTCAGTATTTTTTGCAAAAAATTATTTTCAATAATTCAAAACTTTAACATTATTATTAAATTGTATTTCAGTTTATGTAATATTATATATGATTCTATCTTCATTTAGGATTGTGTATCAAGATTAATAAATAATCGGCGAGCAGTTTGCCTAAACTGTGGAAATTGTATAATATAAATTGACGCAAAATAAATATTATTAGACAAGATCTGTTTTGCTCGAATAAGCAAGTATAAATACAATATATAAAAATAAAGTTAAAATCTTTTAATTATAAATGACTTGCTTGTTGCATTGTAAAAAGCCATAAAGATAAAGCATCTCAAATTCGCGAAATATTTTTTCACGCTTTGCTGGATCGTTGTGGACGTTTAGGAAACAGTTTGAAACAATTAACTGCAGTCGACTATTCTGAGAATGAGTACAAACTATTGTTTTACTGAAAAAGAGCATGAAAAATGGAAACCTTTCTTGAATTTCGTACTTTACAAAAATATCTTGTTCTTTGTCCTTTAGTTCACATGATAATTTTTCGATCCTTTACTACATACAATAGATTGTTTGTATCTGAATTAATTTTTATGGATACACAAGCATTTTTATATATACTTTAACTTTTAAAGAAGATTGTATTTATAAGATTGTGTATGTGTTTTTTTAAGAAAGAAATATTATTCAACTATTATTCTTCTCTAAAATTAGTGTTTTAAAGAAAAGGAATAGACAAGACACAAATGAGCTATCATATATACTGAAAAAGTATACTAAATTTTAATAAATGTTTAAATAATACTAACGAGAGATTCTTTAATTAGAGTTGCGATACGAAACTAACGCGGCGTTAAGATTAGACAGAGATACTAATATATTTCTTTCTCTGTCAATTTTGTTAAAATTACTACTCAGCATACAAAAATTGGCTCAAATCGTCTTGTGTAGTGACTGATTAGAGAGGGTTTCTATTATTAATTAAATAGGGGAAGTCCAGGCAAAGCAAATATTTTCCTGGGCAAAGCGAATATTTTTTATTTTTGCTTATCTATCTGAGATAATGCTATAAATCTAACTCTTGAAGGAATGACCAATTGTCGACACATGAAAGTGCGAATATATGATTGTGCTCGTTTGTGCGAAACAATATATGAGATTGTGCTCTTTTTTTTTATAGAGAAATAAAAGAAATTGTCTATTTTCTTGCGATTTTTTTGCTAAAGTACATAGCTTAATTATTAGTAATAATTATTTCTTTCATTGTGAATGATTTTTTTATAAGAATTCTATTTTTAAATGTGTATTCAAGATTAAAATTTTTCACTTGTTGCTTAAATTTAATCTAATCTTTCCAAATTTACGCCAAGTAGATTCTTTAGGCAAAATGAATGAGGGCAAAGCGAATATGTGATTGCACTGAAAATACTGGAAAGACGAAGGATAGAAGATCTTTCGATTGAATAAAAGATATGATTGTTTAGGTCTTACTTTTATTTTATTTTGTCCACAACACAATGATGTGTCTTCCAAAGAATATATCGACCCATTGTTCAAAGACTGGATTCAGTACAGTCAGTACTCCAATGAGTTCGTAAAGGCTGTACTATATAGAAAGGATTTGGCAGTTACTTTTGTGACTGCCAACACTGATTTCTATTCCCATTGCTCGAGTGACCTATCCACTTTGCCCAGAGGAGTCGAGCAAAGCAGATGATTTCTCTTTTTTTACGTTTTGACTAAAAAGATATTTAAATGTTCAAGTTTTTAAATTTTATTTCATTTTATTTAAAGCTGATTCTATTAATAGAATTATGAGAATAAAAAAGATTTCTGATCTTAATTTTAATTATGTCATTTTTCTTGCCAAACCTTAACACATCCGCTTTACCTAGACTTCCCCTAAATAATAACACTAAATGTAAGAATTTATATTTATATATATTTGTTAAAAAAAAACCATTAACTTGATTCAACTATCATTTTTTTATTTAATAAATATTTACTTACTATAGGTAAATATTTAGTTCTTATTAAAATTGAAAAAATGTTATTAAAATTTAGTAATGTTTTTTCATATACTAATCTCATATGTATATTTTTTATAATACACCGCGTTCTTTTAAATTGGTCTAATTAAGCTAACGTAATAAAATATTTTTGCAATCTGGGTTAGCACTATTTAAATCTCAAATAAATAAATAAATGATAAATTGTCTGTAAAATTACAATTCGGAATTTTTGAGAAATTCTTAACTCGCGTTAAGATCAGCAATTTGGTCCATTAAGAAGAAGAAGGCGCCATTTTATCAGGGATATTCCCGTTCTTACGAATTTACGATGGGCATCAGGAAATCGTTGCATCGTGAATTATTATTTAATGATGGTGAAAGTCGGTGACAAGTCGAAGAAAAGTGATGAAACAATCTTGATAAAATTATTTTTCAACGTAAAGCTCTAATATGTTACTTTTCATACTTGAATTTGCGCGAAAACGAATTACGATTGTCAGGGGACTCGCCTGCGAGCTTTGTAATCATGATCGGTGACGTCCTAATCACTTTCGAGATCGGCCTTCGCTGATTGCCATAACATTCCTACGCGTTGATAATGTGAATTATGAATCTCATGGATTCGTTTCGGTAATATCGTAATTGCAAGGACGTAAGACGAGAATGTGATAACCAGCTTTTTCAATGTGTTTATTCTGAAAAACACACAAGTTTATTCTGAAAAAACCCGGGAAATTGGAATTTATGATACGTATAAACGCTGTGATTCATCAAATTATAAGGTATCATTAGAAATCTTGAATAATTTTTTTAAGTGAAGAAATTGTGATGATATTTTTTTGGTTTATAGAATCCTGCAGTAGCTGTAAAATCATTGTAATTATAAGCAATACTATAAATCCATAATGTACTTAATTAAAAATAGCTCAAATTATGTCCAATTTTTGAGTTATTTTTAATTGTAAAAGTGTAATGAATTTTCATCAAATTGTCATTCCTATTCAATGTGTCGTTAATTTAAATAAAATAATGGAATTAAATAATTTAACTCAAGAAATGAATTAAATATATGACTCTTTAATTTATTATTTACTAAGTGCTTAATATGAATATATCTACATTAAAACTAAGCAATTCAATCACAGAAATGGATTAATTTATATTTTGATATGGAAAATTAAAAGTAACAAAATATTTAACTTCAGGAATTAGATTATCATTGTTTCTTTAATCATTAACAGTTTAAAGTTAAAAATTAATATTAAAAAATTAGGTACACAAACCATTACTTGTATGTTTACATATTTATATATGCAAAACCATCAAAAATTTATGCAAATTATATTCTAACTGAAAACGAAAGCAAAAGATGTTACATACGTCATGTACAACGCATTATTAACTCCTTTCTCCTTTTTGACACCTCGAAGACATAGGATTAGTACGTTGTTACCTGAACTATCTCTTTGAGTGAACGCGATCCAGCTGACCACAGTAAGCTTGAAACGTAATGCTTATCTGCATTAGTGAGAGTGACAAAACACGAATCATTAAGTATGCGGATTCGAGTTCCAACGAAGTGATAAATCTCTACTGCTTGTAATTAGAAATTACATTTAAAAAAAAACTAATGACACCTTTCATGCGCTCGCTTTAACAATAACATAGATAAATGAGCCTATCTAATTAATAAGGTTCGTTAACAGCAATGAATTGCATCTATTAAAGAAAAAAATTGGCATGAAGAACGCGCTGAATTAAAATCGAAAGTGTTCTCCGATTAAATTCTATTGTAGAGAGCGACTCGCGGCGTAAGAATGTCGCGATTGGGAATGCGCACAAAGTGTGCAAGAACTGGGTCGAAAGAGCACGATCGCGAAATCATCATTTCTTTTTTTATTTGTCTAGACAAGTTGCTTAGCACCCGCCTGTATACCTAAAGTCAACCAAGTGTAACTTTCTCCATGAACTTCGAAAGTCCAGCGTATCCGTCGTGTTTATCGCGACTTCACGACAGGTTCGCGAACAAATTATATCTCTCATTGCCGGAAGTCTGACAGTTTCTTCTTCTGTTCTTTAGATATCACTATCTATAATGATTATTATCCTATACGGATAAAAAACAAGTTAATATCATTTAGAGATTAATATCATTTGTATGTTCTGC